CCGATTTTAAGCGTAAAAGTAATTTCCATAAATAATGAAACTGAAACCGACATTTTCTATGAACCATGTGCTTATTTAGATCTCCATAGTAACCATCTTTGACAGCGTTAAACGAAACATTCCTTTTAATCTTACTAGAAGAATGATTCAACTAATAAACAAATAAGAAAACCAGGAATTAATATTAAATGAATGAAATACTTTTTCAATACCTAAAGCACTAACAGTGGATCTCAGGGATCGAATCCCGGTACCGCACATGCTACAACTTAATGAACAAAATCTCCTACCAGCTACAGTGACTTTTTTGGATGCAACTAATACGAATAATAATAGGGTGAGACAGACTAGTTGTCTGGGAATTAAAGGTGGATTATTTGTTTGAAAATCTCACTCAACTGTTATAGTTACTTCGAAATTTTAAATTAATAATTATTTGGTACTGCCGAGTGTATATAAAGTAGAAATGTTGAAATAATTTCTGTCTTATATATCTAGCAGTATCTTGTTAGATGTATTTAGATACTTTGTTCACTATATATACAACAGACAGTAAGAATTCCCTTATTCACTGTTTTACCTACCCTACTGACTTTGTTTTTAAAAAATAATTTACGGGGACCATCTAACGGTTAGCTAACACTGTACTCACAAATCTTTATGAAGGTAGCGATGTTACAGGAACTAGCCGCCTCAAACAACTAATAAGGCATATATGTTTCATTCTACCCAAAAAAGTCGGTTTTGTTTTTAATCTTAAAATACGGTAACACAATGAGCCTAAAAAGAAATTAAGTTGAAATATGTATTTAGTGCTTTAATCGGTACTTTAGGTTGAGGGTGTAAGTATTTATTATTGGAACATGTGTTTAGTATCTGTCCCTCCACTCTAGGTTGTTGGTGTGGGTATTTATTATTATAACACGTGTTTAGTGTCTGTTCCTACCAAAACTCTAAGTTGTTGGTGTGGGTATTTATTTTTTAATCCATGTGTTTAGTATCTGTCTCTCCACTCTACGTTGTTGTGTGGGTATTTATTATTATAACACGTGTTTAGTGTCTGTCCCTCCACTCTAGGTTGTTGTGTGGATATTTATTATTATAACACGTGTTTAGTGTCTGTTCCTACCAAAACTCTAAGTTGTTGGTGTGGGTATTTATTATTAAAACATGTGTTTAGTATCTGTCTCTCCACTCTAGGTTGTTGGTGTGGGTATTTATTATTATAACACGTGTTTAGTGTCTGTTCCTACCAAAACTCTAGGTTGTTGGTGTGGGTATTTATTATTGGAACATGTGTTTAGTATCTGTCTCTCCACTCTAGGTTGTTGGTGTGGGTATTTATTATTGGAACATGTGTTTAATGTCTGTTCCTATCACAACTCTAGGTTGTTGGTGTGGGTATTTATTATTGGAACATGTGTTTAGTATCTGTCCCTCCACTCTAGGTTGTTGTGTAAGTATTTATTATTGGAACATGTGTTTAATGTCTGTTCCTACCAAAACTCTAATTTGTTGGTGTGGGTATTTATTATTATAACATGTGTTTAGTATCTGTCTCTCCACTCTACGTTGTTGGTGTGGGTATTTATTATTGGAACATGTGTTTAGTATCTGTCTCTCCACTCTAGGTTGTTGGTGTGGGTATTTATTATTATAACACGTGTTTAGTATCTGTCCCTCCACTCTAGGTTGTTGGTGTAGGTATTTATTATTGGAACATGTGTTTAGTATCTGTCTCTCCACTCTAGGTTGTTGGTGTGGGTATTTATTATTGGAACATGTGTTTAGTATCTGTCTCTCCACTCTAGGTTGTTGGTGTGGGTATTTATTATTATAACACGTGTTTGGTGTCTGTTCCTACCAAAACTCTAAGTTGTTGGTGTGGTTATTTATCATTGGAACATGTGTTTAGTATCTGTCTCTCCACTCTACGTTGTTGTGTGGGTATTTGTTATTATAACATGTGTTTAGTGTCTGTCCCTATCACAACTCTAGGTTGTTGGTGTGGGTATTTATTATTATAACATGTGTTTAGTATCTGTCTCTCCACTCTAGGTTGTTGTGTGGATATTTATTATTATAACATGTGTTTAGTATCTGTCTCTCCACTCTAGGTTGTTGTGTGGATATTTATTATTATAACATGTGTTTAGTATCTGTCTCTCCACTCTAGGTTGTTGTGTGGATATTTATTATTATAACATGTGTTTAGTGTCTGTCCGTATCACAACTCTAGGTTGTTGGTGCGGATATTTATTATTATAACATGTGTTTAGTATCTGTCTCTCCACTCTAGGTTGTTGTGTGGATATTTATTATTATAACACGTGTTTAGTGTCTGTTCCTACCAAAACTCTACGTTGTTGTGTGGGTATTTATTATTATAACATGTGTTTAGTGTCTGTCTCTATCACAACTCTAGGTTGTTGGTGCGGATATTTATTATTATAGCATGTTTTTAGTATCTGTCCCTCCACTCTAGGTTGTTGATGTGGGTATTTATTATTATAACACGTGTTTAGTGTCTGTTCCTACCACAACTCTAGGTTGTTGTGTGGGTATTTATTATTATAACACGTGTTTAGTGTCTGTTCCTACCAAAACTCTAGGTTGTTGTGTGGGTATTTATTATTATAACATGTTTTAGTGTTTGTCCCTACCACAACTCTAGGTTGTTGTGTGGGTATTTATTATTATAACATGTGTTTAGTGTCTGTCCCTACCACAACTCTAGGTTGATGTGTGGGTAGTTGGAGTTTTTCACTATCTTTACGAGATTGAAGAGTAGTGGTAGAGTGTAACCAAGGATGTATGATGTATTGTCATGTGAAGAATGGAAGCTGGAACATGCAGTCTGTTCTCTGGAATCGATCTAGTAAAGAAGGAAAGAGCATGTTAGGTCTCAGCTCTGGATATTGTTATCACCCTCTAAGGCATGTTAGGTCTCAGCTCTGGATATTGTTATCACCCTCTAAGCCATGTTGGGTCTCAGCTCTGGATATTGTTATCACCCTCTAAGGCATGTTGGGTCTCAGCTCTGGATATTGTTATCACTCTCTAAGGCATGTTAGGTCTCAGCTCTGGATATTGTTATCACCCTCTAAGGCATGTTAGGTCTCAGCTCTGGATATTGTTATCACCCTCTAAGGCATGTTAGGTCTCAGCTCTGGATATTGTTATCACCCTCTAAGGCATGTTAGGTCTCAGCTCTGGATATTGTTATCACCCTCTAAGGCATGTTGGGTCGAAGGTCTGGCAAAATATCATAGTCCAAAAACTGTCTCTCTCTCTCGAACTTATGAAAAGATGGAAAGGTATGATAACATTGGCTAACAATCTGAACAATCTTATAAATCTTATAACAATCTTATAAATGTCACAAGTGTCAGTGTCTCAAAAAAAGTAAGACTTTTACAAAAGTTATCAAAACATTAATTATACCACACACATAGTAATCAAATCACTAAATACATCTTACATAATTTTACAAGTGTAATAAAACAACACCTGTGATAAACGTTTTGTTTTTATTGGTAATTTGTTTACTAGAACAATAGTGTGGTTTGTGATAAACGTTTTGTTTTGGTTGGTAATTTATCTACTAGAACAATAGTCTGGTTTCTGATAAACGTTTTGTTTTGGTTGGTAATTTGTTCACTAGAAAAATAGTGTGGTTTGTGATAAACGTTTTGTCTTGGTTGGTAATTTGTCTACTAAAACAATAGTGTGGATTGAGATAAACGTTTTGTTTTGGTTGGTAATTTGTCTACTAGAACAATAGTCTGGTTTGTGATAAACGTTTTGTCTTGGTTGGTAATTTGTTTACTAGAACAATAGTGTGGTTTGTGATAAACGTTTTGTCTTGGTTGGTAATTTGTTTACTAGAACAATAGTGTGGTTTGTGATAAACGTTTTGTTTTGGTTGGTAATTTGTTTACTAGAAATGGAGACTTAATTTGAGACAAACGTATTATATTGCTTAATAATGTATCTTCATTTTCCTATATATGTTTTTTTTCTGTGATTACTGTAGAGTATCTAGTCTAAATGAAAGTTACCTAATCTCTAAGCCTTATCGATAGCTTTAGTCACGCGTTTGGATAATGTCGTACTTTGTTGATTAAAACGGAGAAAATATAATTTTTTTACTTGACATCCATTTTGTGGTTGAGTAATTGTTTCGTCACAGACGACCTTGTCTGATACTCTGATAGAAAAACAACTTAACGTCTTCATACAGTAGTTATGGAAACGGTTGGAGAGAAAACAACTGTATATGTCCAGTAACTATGGAAACTGTAAAGTAGACTAATATTGCAGATGAAAAACCATTTACGGTCTTTATATTTAATTCATTAGATAACCAACTCATAGGATTACCGAGTGAAATGTATATAAAAGTTGCATTATACTTAAGCCTCATGTTACATCAAACATTACCATACTTATAGCAGAACTGGGAAATCAAATATACAGAATGTAGTGAAAATACGACTGCCTTCTAGATATCAAGTATCTTAATGTATATATAATAGAGTATCCTTTTACATGGTTGAAATAGAACATTTCAAAACAAAACATTTCTTTTTGAGTTTATAACAACTCTTGTAATTCTATGAACAAAGATATCAAAAACGATGTTAATTTATAACATGTATGTTCCAATAAACATGAATTAATGTGTCAGGAATGTTCCAGTCAATATTAGCTAAGATTGAGGTATTTTCCAATCAACATTAATTTATGTATTACGTAAATATATCATTCAATATCAGTAAATATAACACGAATATTTTTATTAACATAACCCTTTATTCTGCTGAAGAAGTGTTCGAGTTTTTGGGTCTCGTTTGAAAACCATTTGTAACTATGTATGATGTTTTTATTTCTAACAAAATGTTTATTTCCAAATAAGTATTATTATTCTTTAATTTTCAAGTGTATAAAACGTATCTTTACTTTTATCTCTTTACCTCTATTAAAAAATTTCTCACCAGATGGCCCAGCAGAAGTGAAGGTCAACATCTACATCAGAAGTATCAGCAAAATTGATGACGTCGTAATGGTAAGTTTTGAATTATTTGTAAGTCAGTTGATGTGCTATGTTTTAGTTGAGCCGTGTGTGTGTATACAAAGTATAAGTATGAATAGTATTGAGCGTCATGTGTACACTCTGTATTGTACATCATCTGTCTCAAGGGGACGTCACGGTGTTGAGCCCTATGGTCATAATCAAATATTCAACCATCATCTGTCTCAAGGGGACGCCACGGTGTTGAGCCCTATGGTCATAATCAAATATTCAACCATCATCTGTCTCAAGGGGATGCCACGGTGTTGAGTACTATGGTCATAATCAAATATTCAACCATCATCTGTCTCAAGGGGACATCACGGTGTTGAGCCCTATGGTCATAATCAAATATTCAACCATCATCTGTCTCAAGGGGACGTCACGGTGTTGAGCCCTATGGTCATAATCAAATATTCAACCAGTTTTAGTTGGAAAGTTTAACTGTCTGTCGAGAAATGTCGTTATTTTTTATTTTCTTAGCCCACTGTTAGTAGTATGATTTTACATTTGTTGGTTTGGTAAAGCCGTTTTTCTAACAAGAGAAGACTGCTTAACTTTATTATGCACTTAAACTGTCATGTTGATAAAAGTGGTCCCAGCCTAAGGGCACGGGTTTCACCTTTGGTGAAGCTCTGAACTGTTATTGTTACACGTCTAAGTATTCAGGTGTGATCTGTCTGTTAATTAATATCCAACAGTGAGGTAAAGTAGATTCTATTGTTCTAAGTTCTGGTGTTACACGTCTAAGTATTCAGGTGTGATTTGTCTGTTAATTAATGTGCAACAGTGAGGTAAAGTAGATTTTAAAGTCTGAACATATATTTGCAAGAATACAGTGTCCAGATGACATTTGACATATATTTGCAGGAATACAGTGTCCAGATGACATTTCGCGAAAGTTGGAGGGACGAAAGGTTGATGTTCGACGACATGGAAGGTCAAATGACCTATTTGACATTGACGGACCCCGATAAAATCTGGAAACCGGACCTGTTTTTCGCCAACGAGAAAGAAGGCCACTTTCATAAAATCATTATGCCTAACGTCTTACTCCGGATTTATCCTAATGGAAAAGTCCTCTACAGTATAAGGTGAGTCCTTTGTGTGTCAATCAAAACTTACGAATACTTGAGTTTATAAGTCTAAATGATTCATATTTTGTATATTTTAACTGCGTATTATATAATTGTTTCTGTGAAAATAGTTGTATTTTTATAGAATGATCAAAAACTTCAGTCGCTTTTATTTAGCCAACCGGGCTTACAACGCTATTATTCGGGATTCGATACCTGCGGTGGAAAGAGCACAGATAGTCTCCTTCTATAGGTTTGTGCTTAACAACAACCAAACCACTTCCGTTTCGTTAAAATCTGTTTTAATTTGGCAATACAATATAACACAAATTTATCTTACAGAATGTATCAAAGTAAACATCAAATATGTTTCCTCTCTGATCTAAATTTTGGTTGATTTCTTTGTTTGTCATAGTGACGTAAGCTATACAGGTGCTTAGGTCTCGGAAATACAATTTAAGTGTTTGAAAGTTTGTTTATTTTTAGCTTAGCATAAAGCTACAAAATGGGCTATTTGTGCTGTGCCCAATACGCGTATCGAAACCCAATTTTTAGTGTTATAAGACCGCAGACATAACGCTGAGCCATGGAATGCGTTTGAAAATAAAAGCAAATTTCTCGACTAGAAAACAATGAGTTAAGAATTTTTATTGTAGGATTATTCAGCAACTAATATTGTATTTTGAAAATATCACACCCAAAGATAATCAAATTTTCTGATCTCCATACCGATTCTTCGTGATCAACTTGTCAATAATGACATCAAAGTGACATCAGTCTTGTCGAACAATAATCGGATTGTTTAGACAAAGGCTTCTTTCCCTAAACGGGCTTCTTTAGGATTGTTCAGTATTCAGCGACAAGCAAGAAACAAAGAAACATAAGAGAGATTACTTGTTTGTCGATCGAGAATTTCAAATCTTTGATAAACAAGTTAAGAAAACAAGCCAAGTCAGATTAGAAAAATAACCCACTGAAGGCTGACAGGCACAAACCTACATGCAAATTTCAGCGTATTTAAAACATGTATCTTCAAACATTTAGTAAAATTTGTACAACTACTGCAACACAACGTATTCAGCAGTTATAACACAATGTATACAGCGGTTATGCACAGCTAATAATACGCAGCGTATATAGCAGTTATGACACAACTAATACACCACATAATACACAACTCAACTGTTACGTGCATTCTCGATTTTAAGATATTAGCCCTGACCTATTCGCCGTGTATGTTAGCAAGATGTCCCTAAAAGATCCAAACAAACGATATTCCTTTCGTCATGTATGTTAGCAACATGTCTCTAAAAGATCCAAATCAAGGATATTCCTTTCATCGTGTATGTTAGCAACATGTCCCTAAAAGATCCAAATAAACGATATTCCTTTCGTCGTGTATGTTAGCAACATGTCCCTAAAAGATCCAAAT